ATTTGAACAGAGCAAAGTTCTTACAGGTGTAATGTGTCTTGTTCCATTGAAGTAGTGGGTTTTGCGCTAGCACCGTAGCAGCTGCGTAGTTAAGTATCTGTTAGAGTAAACCGTGAGAGGAGCGGGGCCTTCCCATCAGCTTATGCTGTGATGAAAAAATCTGCTTCTAAGTGTGCGGTCGTATATGTCACGAAAGTCCACTTTCGAAGTGCACAACGGAATGATGAAAACCTCACCCATATATAACTGTTCTCTGTCTTATTATCTTCGGGCAGATCGCCGTTAGAGTTTTCTTGTGTAGGGTTTGGGTCTTCTTCGGGCAGATCGCCGTTATCGTCAATTTGCTCATTCCCCAAGTTACTTGTTGTGGCATTCATCGCATCAGCCACTTCCTGAATAATACCGATGCAGAAATGAATGTAATTAAAATTGCAGGTGAAAACAGCAAACTCTGTCCTGATCTGCGGATTCTCACCAAACAACTGCCGGCAGCGGAATTCCCGAACGGTGTTCACTAAAAGTATGGGTGCTGGTAATTTGTACATGTGGACTGGTCCAGAAATAACGATAGTGGCACATTTCGCAGTGCATTGATCCAAATCTTGTGACAAAAACATCCATCACACGAACTTAAAGATTTCCTATGCATTTCACAGTTTATAGCATACGTACTGCGAAGTACAAGAGAATCCTCCAAAACGTCTCTGCTGCTACGCTGTTTGGACACTTACCGACCCTCGCGACTCATCTTGTCCATTTGGTTTTACGAGAATGTAGCGGCTGTTGTCGACATCATAGCACCCCTTGCCAAACAGATTTACTGTTCTATTCGTTGACTGGTCTGCAGATCCCGTACTTTCGCATAGGTATTTTCGTATACTCAAAAGCATTTGATGATATTCAGATTAGCAGTAGGAATGGAATAATTGTGTTATCCTGGTTCTAGTAGACTCCCTTCCGTCGACAAGATTTTACCTCCCTCTACCACGTAATCGACACTCTGTTCGGGTCGTGTCGC